AACAAAATTAACAAGATAATTTTTAAAATTCAAGGAGAAACTAAAAAATAAAAACTAATTACTCCAGTAAAGTATCGATAGCCAACATTTCTATTGAAGGAAAGTAATGAAGTATTTGTACTTTGTTAGTTGACTCCTCTGGATTTATCTCTTGGAATTAGATGAATTTATAAAATGTGAGAATCAAATCAAACTGAGAGCAAAATGTTAACTTTGCTTTTCTGTCTCAGTTCTTGGTTAGACTGATCAATGGACCCAGAATAGATCGAGTCTAACTTTCCTTTCATTATCAATCATTTCATCATCATGTTTTATGATTATTTTCTAATCTTCTCTGAGTTTTCTTTCCACATTCAGCTTTTTGTATCGTCTCTCCTGAAGTGTTACAGAAATAAACTTGTTTTGGTCTCTGCAGAAAGGAACAGGATCATTAAAAGTGAAAAAAGTTGATTTTGTCTGAGGAGCTGCTAAATCTTCAGCTGTGTGACAGCATGGAGCTCTGCTGCCACCTGCTGGTTATTAGCAGACCTACAACAACCTGCAGGCTAGAAGCTTCCTGCAGACCGGCATCAACAAAGCCGGAGGGCCGCTGTCCTGCAGGTGTCAGAGGGTTCTCAGCTTCAGCACTGATTATTCTGATGTTTGCAATTCAGCAAAAGCCTGTTAATCAATCAACTATAAATAATGATCAGCTGTGCTGGAGCAGAGAAACTTCTAAAACCTGCAGGACCCACTTTGCCTGGTCTATAGGTTCATTTAGATGGAGGCTGATATTCAGCTGAAGCTTATTTTAATCCATATTTCTGTTCTTCATGTAAAACAGGCCTGTTCTGCAGGTTTGCTGGTTTGAATGCATCCATTGTGAATCCTGGGTGGTGCTGTTCTGCATGCAGACAGACAGAGGGCCATTTTTTGGAGGCCTTGAATCTGATGAGCCTTCAGAGGAGCTACAGCAGCCAGAGCACCGAGGCGAGTCTGGGGGCCGACAGCGAGGAGCCCGATGCAGACAGGGAGGCCCAAGGTTTTATTTCACTGCAATAGTGGCTGCAGCCGCTTTACTTTGTCCTGGTGACACATCCACCACCAGGAGGCGCTCTAACTTTACCTCGATCCAGGGGGTACATAACCACTTTTCAGGAGGCATCAAGAAACTTTAAAATACCAAATTCAATTCTATTCAGTCTATTTCTATAGCTCCAATTCACATCATGTCATCTCAGGTCACTTTCCAGTTCACCAGATCATCCAGTCAGATTGATTCAAAGTTTTCTATCTAAGGAAAACCAGCTGATTGCATCGACTCATTGACTCTTCAGCAATCCCTCACACTAAGCATGCTTGTAGCGACAGTGGAGAGGAAAAACTCCCTTTGAACAGGAAGAAACCTCCAGCAGAACCAGGCTCAGTGTGAGCGGCCATCTGCTGAGGCCCACTGGGGTTCAAGGAGACAGAAGCAGATGCATCCACTGCACTGTAAAACAAATATCTGTTGTTTTCACAAAAATAATCTGGCATCTGTTGCTGTGAGACTATTTCAGTAAAAAAGTAATTAAAGTATAAAATGAAAATATATCCAAATATATTTATATATATATTTTAGATGTGCAAGATAAATTTTTAATCTTTAAAAGGAATAGTACACCCAAAACACGATTAGCCTTCATTTTCTACTCACCCCCATGCTGAACAACACTCTGGAGTACTTTTTTGATATCTCAAATGCATCTGGAGATCTGGGAGTACATTGGAATACATTGGACGAGCAGTATGGAGGAATATTGACACGTTTTTTGTGGACTTTTATGGACCTTTCTGTCTCGGTCACCATGGACCTCCATTATTTGAATGTCAGCAGACAGCAAGAAGCCTCCCAGATCTCCAGATGCATTTGAGATATCAAAAAAGTACTCCAGAGTGTTGTTCAGCATGGGGGTGAGTAGAAAATGAAGGCTAATCATGTTTTGGGTGTACTATTCCTTTAATGATGAGTAAAGCTGTTTCATCCGTTGTATCTGTGACATATTTCCTTAAATCCTCCCCTATAGACTCTGGTTAAAGTTTTCCAGTGCAGCAGCTCCTCTTCAATGCTAAAGATAGGAGCATCCTGAGGAGCAGCTCTCCTGCTCCCAGAGCTGAAAGCAGCTTTATTTCCTCACCACCTCCCTCCACAGCCCTGACATCACAGTCGTCTGTTAGAAAGTGCGTCTGATTGACAGGTTGATAGAATTATTTAGCTCCAAGGCTTGGCTAACTGCATGTAGCAAGGCTAAGGCTTTATTCTGCTTCGCCTGCCTCCTTTATAAAAGGATCTGTTTCTGCGGCTCTAAGGGAAGCGCTGGTACTTCCTGTTTCCCTCTTTAAGAGCAGCTTTGAAGTAAAAAACGAGAACAAAGCAGCTTTTTAATGTTTTTATTCACAGACTAAAAGAAGAGAAGCATCCATTCAGCATCGGGTCTGCGGGTTTCTCGCTCCAACAGGAACACCCATCAACATTCTCAATAAAAGTCCAATCCCTCTCCTGCAGATCCGCCCCCCTCCGCTGGGGGGCGCTATTACATCACCAAACAGTCTCACAGGAACACGAGTTTTCAGCAACAACAACTTAAAACCATCTCTGCAAAATAAAAAGAAAACATGACAACATGGCGTCTGTGTGGCTTTAGGATAAACTTCCTGTTGAACCGAAGCGAGGGCGACACGTCACGAACACGCCGAGCGGGAACACATATATAGATTGACTTCTCTGTATATAGATCTATTTCTTCCTCTATGGTTTTCTAAAGACGTAGCCGGGCGCCGTCAGCACTGCTTGTGCCCCCTTGTGGCCACTGGTTAAACTGCTGTTATTGCAAACTGTCCTGATTTGAAACAAATGCACAACATTCGTACCACGATAAAACCGGGCCGCCTAGCCGGTCTCACAGAGACCAAGAGTGACCCGCCGCCGGGTTGGCCGACTGGATTCAGGAGATCTTCAGACTGAAATGATTACAAACCATCATCATCATCATCATCATAAGGCCAGGTATCGTCACTGCAGAGTCTCATTAGTTCACATCTAGCGTCTGTCAGAGGATGAGAAACAGAATCCAAAGACCAGCTGGAGTTTGGATCCTCCGCGCTCCTCTTGCATAGTTGTGAGGCGGTTCTGGTCGGACGGCAGGCCCGCCCACCCGCCCGGCTAATCGGGACATTTGGGTCCCTGCAGGCTTAAGAGCAGATCTGAACCTCTCGGCACCGACGTCCGACGGTTCCTCTGCCGTTCAGCAGCGACGTCGTTAAGAACCCGTCTACAGAGCAGCAGGCGTCACTTCATCACAAGCTAACAGGAAGTCGGACCCAGAGCGACGCGGTGAGCTGGCTGCTTTGGCGCCAAGCTAACCGGACAGCGTCTGGTCCGACGGGTCGACCAACGAGGGAGGGAGCTAGAGGCCAGCTCTGTGGATTCACTTCTTCATCCGACGGCAGCGCACCCAGAATCAAACCGGACCAACCAGAACCGGTCTGCTTGAACTGCAGGTCCGGAGACAGAAGAGGCAGAAGCGCTGCACCGACAAACAGAATATCTGTTCAGAGAAGCTCCTCCCCCTCCTGGAATGTTCTTCTTCTAGCAGCAGAAAATGTTTACAGCTTCAAATAAACCGGGGAGACCCGGACCAGCCGTCGGCCCCCAGAGGGACGGCACAAGCAGAACCCCCAGAACCTCCGCTGGATCTCTGACGTCTGCGTGACGTCAGCATTTCGTGGACCCTGAGTACCAGTCAGAGGTGAAGGACCGAGCCGAGCTAAAGTTCTGGTAGCCATCGGCTCTGCTTTGGTTTGAACGGTTCTGGATGGTCCCCCAGGAGCGCCACCAGGAGGCTACATCGGTCCGCTTCAGAACTTTGCTCCACTTTGGTCTTTGGCAGTTAGAACCGCATCCAGAACAAACCCGCTTCTACCGGATTCATCAGAACATTCATCAACCAGCAACTAAAATCAGACCCACAGAACCAAGCTTTGGACTCCAGAACCGTCGACTATTCAGGTCTGATTGGACCACGAGGCGGTCTCTATTCAAGTATCGGCTCCGTTCGGCCCTCAGAACCAGACTGATCAGCCTTCCAGTCACAGAAAACTCACAAGGAGGTTAAAAGAAAGGAACCAGAACCCAGCGGTACCAGACTGAGGTTCCTCTACAGATACGGACCCAGGAGGATGATCCAGGTTACGACAAGGCCCGCTTACTGGGACCCAGTAAAGTGCTGGAAGGGAAGAAACATGGACCTCCGGACTCTCCATCCTCCCTCGACCTTAATCGTTGAAAACAAATGTATGATCAGGTCCGCTTGGCGGGTGCGAGGGCCCGGTTTGATGGCGCCATCCAGAACCGTTCAAACCGGGGAGGATGGAGCCGTTTCTAAGGCAACCGTGTCAAAAGAGAAAAAGGTAACTGATTGTTCTGCACATCGCTCAGAGTGATGATCCGACCAGAACCGTCAGGGTCCGATCAGGAAGGAAGGGTGAGAACCGCTTCATATGGCACCAAGGAGACAGATGGAAGCTGCAGCTTCTCTTCCAGGCCTCTGGGCCTTTCGGGTCGTCGGCTAAATTCAGATCAGAGGCGGCGCTGGAAGAACCAGAACCAGTTTGGCTCTGAGGTCAGCAGCAGGTGAACAGGGTGGGAAGTGTAACAAACTCTCCATCAGCAGCTCAGAAACCCCCAATAATGACCTATGACCTTAAAAACAGTAAATGAACAAACAGCCAATCAGATCGCTCCCTGCTGCCAAACAAAGCTCTACGGGCCGGTTCCTGCTGGTTCCTGCCGGTTCCTGCTGGTCTGGGAGCAGAAATCTGCATTCAAACACTTTTTTTGTGGGGGGGGGGGTTATGAGCTAAAACACATTGGGGTGGGGGGGTTCAGAGTCTCAGAGAGGCTCTGTAGGTCTTTAGGGTGATGGAAACGAGTGCAGACCAAACTGTGTCCAGTCCAGACCGGACTGGACCACACTGGACCGGACCGGACCGGACCGGACCGGATCATCTTTGCAGACTGATCTGGTTTCATGACTTTGTGCTGAACTTTAAAACCTCAAATCAAACCGATCCAGTAGGGGATGTCCGGTCCGGCTCGGCTCTGCCTGTATGCCGCCGGTCCACCTGGTCCGGTCTATGCACCCCCCCCCCCCCCCCCCCCCCCCCCCCCCGACACACACACACACACACACAGTCTACATGCCGGCGCTGAAGGCACGCAGCTCGCGGTGGAAATGCTGGGTGGGTTCGGACAGAACCGTGCTGGAGTCCAGGCACGGGTGCCAGACGCGGCCGAGGCCCAGAGACACCTCCTTCACCAGGTTATGGACCGGGTCCCCCTCCGTGTACAGCGACTGGTCCGGGTCGAAGTCGATGCTCTCTTCGGACACGGTGAGGACGCGGAGACAGGAGCCACGGAGCCTGGAGATGGCCACCAGGTTGTGGGACCAGACGGTGTAACCTGCAGAGATGAGAGACGTCACAACTTCTGGGAAACACGCTGCCGTTCGGAACACTACAGGCGTTTAGCCGCTTCCCTGCATCGCCATGTCTGTAAGCTTACCTGATGAGGGTTATGGACAAGAGGTGTCTCAAAGTCTGCTAGAAAAGAAGGACTAACTGGTGTCACGCCTGTCATGGCTCCACCCACACAGAAAGGTCAGCCAAAGTACACAACGCTCTAAGAAACTGTTTTACCGAGAAAAAAAGTGAAGCGCGGCACAAACCTGCGGCCTTTAATGAGGTGTCTGAGGGGCTGAACGACGCCGTTGAAGAAGTATTCAATGAGGCATCGACAAAGCCGGGCATAATCTGAGCGATTTTTTCAATCTTTGCACGCATCTACAGCCCGCCGTACAGTGCCAGTTCACAGCTCACTGTGCATGTTCGACCCAACGCGATCTGCCTGCTCACGCTGTACGTCTAAAAACCAGGTGGGACTCAGCTCCGCAGTGAGATGGCGCTACTGGGACTCGTCTATCTGGAAGCCAAACCAGTAGCAGAGGAACATGAAGCTCACTAGAGTGAAACGCGCTGCCTTGGATATTTGGGAAATTTTACGCTGAAAGCCCTAAAAAGAAAAGGAGACGACGTATTTGGATTAAAAAAAAAATAAAAATCATACAGCGTTCGCCCGGCTTAAGGCATTAAATGAGGCATTTTATAAACAACCTTCTGAGATGTATTTGACGGTTCATGACGCATTCAAAGAAATGTTTGATGAGGGATTTTAATCAGGTCTTTAAAGTGCCATAAATAAATATTTTTACGAAGGCCTGAAAGTTTCATGCGACGGTACGAATGTGAAACACGTGGCGTTCAATGAGGTATTCAATAAGACGTTTAATGAGGCTTTTTAATTTGCCGTTTAAATAATGAATCAAACAAAAAAAGACTGCTCTCTGCATCATCATCATCCGCCATGATGGTCGTCTTTCTTTTTCAGTTACTAATGGCGTTCAGGTGGGATGAATGCGACCTGGCCGTTCAGACACATTTCAACAGATCAGATTCGTATCGGGTCCTGCGTGAACGTAGCCACTGGTTGACCGTGTTGTTTTATTGTGAAGGAGAAGCTTTTATTTTGCTGTTTCAGCTGAAACTCTGGATTCCCCCAAAACCGAAAAATATCCTAAAATAAGTGGAATCTGAGCAGAGCTGCTGCTGATGAGCGCAGAGAGAAACACTCTATGAAGGCAACTAATGATCTTTTTTCTTTACTTTGTTCACGTTTAGCTTGTTAAAAGCTTGAGGTGTTTATTAATTAAACATCACAGGTGATGTGCCGCCATGGAACAGTAGCTTAGCTTCACCTCTTGCTTCTCCTCGTAGGCGGCGGCGTCACATTCACTCCGACCTTCATCCGTTCACCTCACATCAGCTCACCGTGTATCACCAGCACAGCCAGCTGGGTGCACCTCCAGGCCAGCAGGACCAGCGGGTCTTCGTTGCGGTTGACGCTGAGGTCGGGGAAGCCAGGGCCGTCCCTCAGCAGCAGGAAGTGGGTGAGGGTTTTGTTGTACTGCTGGGAGACGAGCTCCAGCGTGGCATCGGTCACCAGCGTGCTGTAGCTGTCCAGGTGGAGGCGCTCTAGAGGCAGGCTGGGCTTTAGGACCCTGAGGAGCTCTGAGCTGTCCACCTCCAGGGCCATGATGTACACCCGCAGGTTAGCGCTGACCCGTACCTGCGGGGGGGCGGAGTCTATTAGAACGACTCTGGGCTCACAGACAGACGGCTGAAAACAGGTGTAGTTACCAGCGCCTTCCAGTCGTCCTCTCTTGCCGTGCTTTCTAACGATTTAAACTCCAGGGCGGCGCCGTTGAGCTGCAGGGAGAGGCGGTGGAGCGGAGCTCTGCGTGGAGACGCCAGCAGAGCGCACAGCTCGGACGAGAAGTCGGGAAAATCCAGAGCCAGGGAGTGGAGGTTGGAGAGCCGATCGAGCTCCGACGGCGAGACGAGGGGCCCTGAGGAAGAGGAGAGGAGGAAGGCTGGATGCTTAGACAATCTGCCGCCGCTGCTCCTCACCCATCACAGCAGGAGGCGCACTCACCCTGCTGGTGGTCCAGGAAACTGAGGTGCTGCAGCGTCTCGGCGGACTGGTTGGACAGGCGGGCTAAGGAGCGCGGCGTCAGCAGACCCAGCATGAAGCTGCAGGACAACCAGCGCAGCTGGCGGCTGTTGGACAGCAGCTCCATGAACAGCTCCTGGATTCTGAAGGACAAGAACCAGGATTCAGAACATCCACCGGACGGAGGAAGAGGGAAGAGTTAGCTAAAGAAGCTGCTGCTACGAGATGCTAACATTGATGGAGAGTTACGCTAAAGGAGCTCCAGGTTCTAACTGAGGCTGTTAGCGGTTAGCATCAGGATCAAACATTTTCTCTGATTTATCAGAACGATGAGCTACTTTAAACGGTCCTTCATTATCCTCTGATTTGATGTTGCCTTTACCTTAGCTTCCGCTAACGGCGTTAGCTCTAGCTAATACAGTAAGCAGAAGATCAGATTGTCCCAGCAGATATCTGATGTAGAGCTGCTCATGAAAACTCTGAGGCAGCGACGCAGTGCTAACGCTAACCCGCATGTAATGCAATAAAAAGCAGCTCTGCTAACGTTAGCCTTCCTGGGCTAACGTTAGCAGATCAGAGTCCGACTGGATCTGGATCAAACTGGTTCATCAAATGAAGCGGTCTAGTTAAAGCCCAGGACTTCTCCACAACGATGTGAAGATAAACCCCCCGAGGAGCGAAGCCGTGCGTGACCTTAGCGTTCAATTAGCATCATTAGCTTGGTGAGCTAATGGTCAAAGCCAACAGGAGCTGATTCTTACTCTTTGATCTTTTTGTCCCCCTGGTGGATCTGATGCAGGTTGGCGCTGTCCAACAGTCCCTCCTGCTGCAGGATGAAGGTGTCTCCATATAAACTCAGCCTCTGGAGGTTCCTGGAGGAGAAGCAGACGAACCAACAAACCTGTTATTGTGATGGAGGAACACCGGGACCCTCCTGGTTCTGTTTGAATAAACTGGATTCGTTCGGTTCCGTCGGGGTCGAGTCCAGGCCGGCTGCCCGGCACCGTGACGCCAACCCTGCAGTTCTGCTTTCATTCCAGATGTTTGACTGTGAAATGTTAGAAAAAGGTTTAATGAAGGCATTTTACTCCAGAAAACTACGGTGGCTGAGAGGAGCCAATGCCAGGAGAAAACAGGCTTTCACTGCAAATTCAGAAAGTTAGACAAAAACATTTAGAGATGATGCTAAAAAACACAAAAATATGACGGAGAAAAAGAGTTCATCAGGGCTGAGGAGCTCCAGACCACCAGGGGGAGACGATCATCGGCTCGCCTGAGAGCAGACCCTCATTAGAGCCATAAAGTGGAGGGTCAGAGGAAATGGCCATTTCTCGGTTCACAGGAACGCCAGGACAGACTCGTGTCCTCGCCAAGTCCGATCTTGACTAGAACCCAGGAAAGTCTGGATAAATCTGGGTCAACTGGAACAGAAGCGTACTGATGACATCACCACATTTAAAGCGAGTCTAGAGCTGCATTTCACCTCCTGTTATTAATAGTCTCTGGATCAGCGGTCTTCAATGTTTTCCAGGCCAAGGATCCACTAATTATAGATGTTGTATAGATATTGAACATTTTCATTTAGTGGGGCAATAATAATGAACTCAGTTAGATAAACACAAATGAACATTTAGTCAAATAAAACAATCAAAGAGAGGGCTGCTGCAGCCAGGGCTAACGTTAGCCTGCTGCTGCAGCCAGGGCTAACGTTAGCCCGTCTGCAGCAGCAGGCTAACGTTAGCTCTGGCCACTGCAGACGGGCTAACGTTAGGGTTAGGGTTAGACGGGCTAACGTTAGGGTTAGACGGGCTAACGTTAGCCCTGGCCGCTGTAGACGGGCTAACGTTAGCCCTGGCTGCAGCAGCAGGCTACTGTTAGCTCTGGCCACTGCAGACGGGCTAACGTTAGGGTTAGACGGGCTAACGTTAGCTCTGGCCGCTGTAGACGGGCTAACGTTAGCCCTGGCTGCAGCAGCAGGCTACTGTTAGCTCTGGCCACTGCAGACGGGCTAACGTTAGGGTTAGGGTTAGACGGGCTAACGTTAGCCCTGGCTGTGATTAGCCTTGGAGCATTGCTGGTTGCAGCGGTCCTCTCAACATCTGGATTTTTTTTTATTCCGCACTAAATTATTAAATGGTCGATAAAGTGACGCTAAAGTATAATATTCTCGCCTCAAATTATATTAAAACATACTTTTATTGAACAACAGTCTGTCCGTCTGGAGGACGGACAAGTCTGCTCTGATGCATGCTGGGTAAAGAGGGAGGGGCCAGAACAACATCCGGGAACTTTGTCCGTTCTCTGTCTTCTTGTTAAGAGTGAATTGGAACAGTTCTAGAGTTGAGGCTGAAGACGTTTCACGAGGACACACAAGAACACAGAGTGAAACAGCCTATGTTTTAAAGATTCAGAGGAAAACGTCTTCACATTCCTTCCCAGAAACATTTGGTCCAATCAGCGGATGACTGTCTCCCCCTGGTGGTCTGGAGCTCTTCTCTGGTTCCAGTTTGCAGCTTTTCTTTACCCTCAGTTGCTGCGTTCCTCCTCTCTGTTGTTTCAGCATCTCTGTTGTGTTTCCTGGTCTAACTTCAGGGTTTTACACGGTGATGGCATCCCTCAGCCACCTTTGAACCTGCTGTCCCTCTGTAACCCAACCTTTAAACAGGAAGTGCAGCGTTTCTATCAGCGCTCTGCTCTCAGGTGATCCTCATCAGCTCTGATATCGAACCGATTTCTGACGAATGCAAAGATACACCAGCCTCAATTTAACAAGACATTTCAAGAAACAGAAATGTCTTGATCTCAAGAAATCTCAAGAAACAAACAGATCAAGAAACGAAAGGGCTGATACCGACTCCAGAGGAACCGCTGAGCCCTGGTTCTGGTCTTCACCGGGATCTCTTCTCTTTGATTCGTTAAAATGATCAGTACAAACATTCAGAACCAGAACTGGACCCTATTGAGAAGCCTAAACAGCTTTGATTACTTTAACTAGACCGATCAACCCCAGAGGGACGTCGTCCAGCAGAGCCTCCGCAATGAATCCCCCCCCCCCCCCCCCCCCCCCCGTCATCCAGTAGACAAAGTGACCCCTGAATGAGAATGAGGCCCAGTTTGTGTGACGCTGGAAGGTTCTGGAGCCTGAGAGGAACAGGAGAAGGACAGGTGCTATCTACCCAGAGGGGTTCTAGGTCAGCGCTGATGTCAGCAGGTCAGAACCAACAGAAACTCCCTCTGCTTTGTTCCTAACAAAGACCTAGAACACACAGAACCGTCTCTGCAGAAGCATGCTGGCTAAAAGCTCTACTGCAAACAGGCTGAAGTCGGTGTCACATTGAAACTAAAGGGCTGAATTTAAAGGCTCTGGTTAAAGAAACGGAACACATAGATCTATGAAACCTAGACTGAACCCTTCAACTGATAGGATGAAAGATATTTGAACTTTTGTTGATTGACAAATTGATAAATATAACTTCAGTCTCGCTAAATTTAATCTAAAACTGTTTGGGAAAAAAATTCCTTTTCCTTTATTTCTTCCAAAGAAACAATTTTAAGCTCAAAAAATGAATCAGAGTGCAAAACGTTACGCTACAAAAACATTATTAGATCATTCATGATTTCAAAACCCAAACTAGGATCTAAAATAATTCACATCATGTTCCATCAGAACTATGTTTAAAATCATCGGTCCAATTATCGACCCAAAACTGATTTCTGATCCGCTTCACAGTCGGATCATCTGGATCTAAAACAATCGGGTTTATTTTCAGACAAAGAGAAAAAGGAGGAGAGGAAGAAGGAGAAGAAGAAGCAGAAGCAGAAGAAGAAGAAGCAGAAGAAGTAGAAGCAGAAGAAGCAGAAGCAGAAGCAGAAGAAGAAGAAGAAGCAGAAGAAGAAGCAGAAGAAGAAGAAGAAGAAGAAGAAGAAGAAGAAGCAGAAGAAGAAGAAGAAGCAGAAGAAGAAGAAGAAGAAGAAGAAGAATTATTTCAGTTTTTCATTCAGTTCCAACAGCCTGTCTGCTGCTGCCTGTGGAGCTGGAAGAAAGAGGACTTCCAGTTCTGGGTTCTAGATTCTAAGCAGATCAAAGGCGGTTTTGGGTTCTAGATTCTTAGCACATCAAAGGCGGTTTCGAGTTCTAGGATCAAAGGCGGTCTGGGTTCTAGATTCTAAGCAGATCAAAGTCAGATCTAGTTTCTAGATTCTAAACAGATCAAAGGCGGTTTTGGGTTCTAGGATTGAAGGCGGTTCTGGGTTCTAGAGAAGATCAAAGGCGGTTCTGAGTTTTAGGATCAGAGGCAGTTCTGAGTTCTAGAGCAGATCAAAGACGGTTCTGGGTTCTAGGATCAAAGGCGGATCTGGTTCCTAGAATCAAAAGTGGTGCTAGGTCCTAGAGCAAATCAAAGGTGGTTCTGGTTCCTAGAACCAAAGGCGGTTCTGGATTCTAGAGCAGATCAAAGGCGGTTTTGGTTCCTAGAACGAAAGGCGGTTCTGGGTTCTAGAGCAGATCAAAGGCGGTTTTGGTTCCTAGAACGAAAGGCGGTTCTGGGTTCTAGAGCAGATCAAAGGCGGTTTCGAGTTCTAGGATCAAAGTCGGTTCTGGGTTCTAGGATCAAAGACGGTTCTGGGTTCTAGATTCTAAGCAGATCAAAGGCGGTTCTGAGTTTTAGGATCAGAGGAAGTTCTGAGTTCTAGAGCAGATCAAAGACAGTTCTGGGTTCTTGGATCAAAGGCGAATCTGGTTCCTGGAATCAAAAGTGGTGCTAGGTTCTAGAGCAGATCAAAGGTGGTTCTGGTTCCTAGAACCAAAGGCGGTTCTGGATTCTAGAGCAGATCAAAGGCGGTTCTGGGTTCTAGGATCAAAGGCGGATCTGGTTCCTGGAATCAAAAGTGGTGCTAGGTTCTAGAGCAGATCAAAGGTGGTTCTGGTTCCTATAACCAAAGGCGGTTCTGGGTTCTAGAGCAGATCAAAGGTGATTCTGGTTCTGAGTTTTAGGATCAGAGGCAGTTCTGAGTTCTAGAGCAGATCAAAGACAGTTCTGGGTTCTAGGATCAAAGGTGAATCTGGTTCCTGGAATCAAAAGTGGTGCTAGGTTCTAGAGCAGATCAAAGGTGGTTCTGGTTCCTATAACCAAAGGCGGTTCTGGGTTCTAGAGCAGATCAAAGGCGGTTTTGGTTCCTAGAACCAAAGGAGGTTCTGGGATCTAGAGCAGATCAAAGTCGGTTTCTTAAAAAGATGAAATGACCCTTTAGTGATCAGTCGGAAGCTAACTTCTCCGTCGTCCTCACAGACCGACATGATTACGTAACTCCAGCCGGTTCCACTAAGGGATCCAAATCTTGAGCAAACCGAACCAATATGGCGGCCAGCAGTACCTGCCCCCCCTCCCTGCAGCAGAACATTACCTGTTGTTCCGGATGCTGGTGAACACGCAGAGAACCTGCTCCAAGTAGGCGGCCATGGCGGCCCTCCAGCGCTCCGGCAGCTGCTGCTGGTCTACCTCCGGGCCGCCGGGGGGACGCTCCGGGCTCAGGTTCCCTTCCACCGGCGCCAGCTCCAGCTGCAGCTCCCGGACGAAGGAGCCGAACTTCCGCATGAGGAAGTCCAGCTTCGGCGTCTCCTCGGAACCGAAGCCGCCGATCCGCAGCCGGAGCTCGGTCCACAGGGCCGGGTAGAAGAGGCACTCCCTCCAGCGGGAGCAGACGGCCGAGGCGCGGAGCTTGTCCCGGTCGGACAGGAAGGAGAAGATGTGGACGATGAGCTCGCTGGGTAAAGCCATGGCTCCGACGCGTCCGCACAGAGCCATGGCGGCAGGTTCGGTCCGTCTGATCCTCCTGGTCGTGGAAAACAAACCGAGCTTCGCCTTCACTACTGGACCGAACCACTTCCAGTCAGGAAGAAGGGGACAAAACAGACCGCAGGAAAACAGCCACTAAACTACTCATCTAACCCAAATTATGCCAAACACACATTTTATTTCTTATTTTTTAAATACATTTGGGTTTTTAGATTAAACAAAACTTTTTGACTCGCCTGTCCTCCCTCCACCTGCCTGAATGGTTCAGTCCGGAGACTCTGGTGTTTTTGCCATTTTTTGGCCGTCCACCAGAGGGCGCTGTTTCTCTCTAGCCGAAAAACAAAAACAGAGAATCTGGGGCCAACATGTGATCTTTATTTTGGTATTTCGTCTTCACTGTGACACGCCCTTATCGTGTCCACACCCCACGGCAGCAGTCGGGAAAAGGGCTTCCTCTAGTGGCCAATCAACGCACCGACAGCGATTTAGACTCAAATGACGTCACTTCCTGCAGTAAAATTCCTCAGGATTCAACTACACTAAGAAAACTCTAACCCCTAAAAGACTTTAAGGTGATAAAGCAGCAACATAAAAAAAAAAAAAAAAAGTTATATGGTGAACTTTGAAATAAAACAAGTTTAAAAACTGATGATTCAGTTTAATTCTCCACTGTTTCCTCCCTGAATGCTCTGCCGTGTCCTTCAGTCTACATGGTTCAGTTTGTTCTCTCTAATCAATCTAAACTACATTTAAACTGGGATTAAATATAAACAGGTGTTTGCTCTTACTGTGGAAATACAGAAGATCATAGATATTAAATTTATGTGTGATCCACCTGTAGTTCTGATTCTTCTAATAGGATGCATGATTCTGGCACAGCCACAATCATTAATCTGCCTTAATCTCACTTTTTTCCTCTGCTCCTTCTCTATCTGGAAGCTCCAGAGAATCCATGATCCCTCCTCTCCAAACCATCCCCCTCCAACATCTCCACTGAGATGTTAGGCTTATTTAATGAAAATCTTAGTCACAGTTACCACTGCTTATCATCATCATCATATAAACACCAAGTAGCAATCAGGACAAAGTTTGGAGGTTATTAGATCAGAAATTACAGCAGGTAGGTCTTGTCAGATGGCAGGTATACATAGAAATAGTAGAACACAGTCATATAGAGTACTAAATATTACATCATAGTTTAATTACTTAGTTGTTTGTTTTGCTTTCTATTCCTGTTATTTATTATTTCTGTGTTTTTTTAATTTCCAGGTTATTCCTATAACAACATCTCCATTTTTCTGTTTTAATCAAGCGAAGCAGTAAACAGGAAACAGTTTTGAACGTTTGGCGCAGTTCTGCAGTTCTGCTTGTTGAGCAGCAGGTGGCAGCAGAGGGAAACTGTTGAACTGGAGGCTTTTTCAGAGACTGTAATGACGGCGACTGTACAGCAGGGGGAGACGGGGAGCACAGACCCGGTTGAAATGCTCCAAACAGGCTCTCCATTCCACAGATGCGAAAACTTTATCTTTCTGTTTTTTTTTTCCACACTTTGAATCTTTCTTGCTTAAAATTATCACCTAATGTAAAAATGATATGAAATAAAATAACAGAAATTAAGTCAATCTGATTGGCTGTCTTAGAGATTTCTTCTGGTTCTGCCTTTTAAAATAATATTTTATTGTTTTTATTTAAATGTGTCTGAATGTAAAAAAAAAAAAAAAAAAAATATATATATATATATATATATATATTGTGATGATGCAATCAGTTGTTTGAACTGATTGGGGCGTGGCCACCCCTACCATTTGTTTCCCTCTAATACAATTAGTGGGAAAACATTTAAATTTTTCATATATTAACAATTACTTAACATAAACACTGTGGTTAATTCTGCACATCAATACACTAACATTAAAGATGATAAATACAGAATTCATGCTCCTTTCAGAATTTGATTTTGTGTTTTATGGGGTAAAGAGAAGATTAATCATAGATAAATAACAATTTTAATAAAAACTTTAAAATTTAAATTTATGTAGATATTAGTATTTATAAATACAATAAAATATAATTCTATGCAAAATAATTACTGATAAAAGTAGGTAAATAATGACAATTAATAAAATTTTCTTGCCACTCCTCTGCTCTATTGTTAAGCTGCTATAGGCTTAGACTGCTGGAGGACATAGGGACCCCTTTTTCATCATTCTGCTTCATTCTATCTCTATTCTCCCACTCTGCAGAATCTGTTAGTTCAATCTCTAACGTTCTGCTCTCTCTGCTTTTTCTCATAGTAGCTTCATCTGGTCTGTTCCTGTTTGGCTGTGACTCCATCCTGGAGAGAAATATCAGCTGTGCTGCTGCCATCAACACCTTTGTTTCTAGATGTTGGAGCTTGGCCTGTTTTCCAGTGTAGTCCTGTTTCTCTGACTGTGACTAACTGGATGTGCTCTCTTCATCCTCTGACATGGGAGCTGGCTCGGAGCTCGTCTGCCTGGCTGTGTGTTTCCTGGACGGGGCCGCCTGTGGAGCTGGTTGACAGTTGCCTTTTGTATCTATGCTTCTTTTTCTATGTCTGCTTCTGTCTCCTTGAACCCCAGTGGGCCTCAGCAGATGGCCGCTCACACTGAGCCTGGTTCTGCTGGAGGTTTCTTCCTGTTCAAAGGGAGTTTTTCCTCTCCACTGTCGCTACAAGCATGCTTGGTGTGAGGGATGCCTATTGCCTGATGGTAAATCCTCCCCTGGGGGAAGAACAGGGTAAAACTGAATGTTTTCTATGATGTTTGGCTCTAAACATGCCATGAGAGACGCACCAAGGCTAAATCTGAATTTAAACCACCAATCTGTAGATCAGGTGACTAAGATTAAACGATTGGGTGTTACTTTAGATCAAACAATGTCCTGGTCTTTACATATTAATAATATTTTGAGTGAAATGAGCAGGAACATCTCATAAATTAGAGGCAATGTTATGTCAATATACAGACCTTATGCAACACATATGACTCATTATTCACATAAATACTGTAAAGCAAAGGGACCAAGACAGCTGCCTTGTGGAACTCCGCACACATTTACGCGCTCCAAGAAGTTCTCATTTTGTCTCATCAGCTGATAGAAGATTCCCTCAAAGGTGAAAGAACAAAAAACAAAGTTCTGTGAAGCTAAAAGGCGTCAGAGGAAGATGTCCCTGAACACACCACCATTAGGCCACCCATCGTTCACCTCAGGGCTTCCATTTTTTGGCAGAGCCATTCTAGTTAGGGTTAGTAGATTCTTCTCAAAAGTAGATTAATAATCAAACATAATCTGTTCAGATTAAGATACAATAGCAGCCATTCAAAATGGCCCTTCCCAGTTAAACACCATCGAATGGCAGCAAACTCCCTCCAACTTCCAGCCACTGCAGTGACCCCCTCCCCTGCATGTTGTTACACTCTGACTCCACCCTTTCACTGAATTACAGGGTCTGACCAGGAGATGGCGCTTCTCTTTAGATCTTAATGTCCTCAAATCATGACAGAAAAAAATTTTTAGTACAAAGATTGATGTTTAAAAAGGAATTTCAGGGGACCAGCCATGGACCAGCCAGGAAAAGTGGGGATCTTCCATTGAATCAATCTCAGAACAAGTTCAAGGATCTTTTGGGATCTAAGATATGAACTCGTAGTTAGAGGACAGTTTTTGTACCACAGTGATAGAAAAGATAAACCATAAGGCAAATGAAAAGTTTCTAATAAAAAGAAAAAAACTTTTCAGCAACAGAATCACAGATTATAGTTCAATAAATAATGCTAATAATAGGTTCAAGCAGCAATGGTTCCTAAAAGAAGCAAGTTTATTTCTAAAATAAGCAGGAAAGTCAGATAATCTGTCAGAGGAATGAAGATTTTAACCCTTGGAAAGAATCATTCATTTAAAACTTTAAATCCAACCATAGAATCATTTCTTATTTTAAAGGTATATTTTCTCATTCTATCTCCATCTGACCTACCTGCTCAGATTACAGGAAAATACACTAATTCCAAGAAAAATGAACGTGCTTCATCATAAATGTAAATAGATTTAAATGATGGAATTTTTTTTTGCAGTGCAGAGCAACGCTCCTGTTTTGTCTGCATGGTGGCCTGTTCCTGATTCTGTTCCTGATCCTGTTCCTTATTCTATTCCTGATCCTGATTCTGTTCCTAATCCTGTTCCTGATTCTATTCCAGATTCTGTTCCTGATCCTGATTCTGTTCCTAATCCTGTTCCTGATTCTATTCCTGATTCTGTTCCTGATCCCGATTCTGTTCCTGTTCCAGATTCTGTTCCTGATTCTATTCCTGATCCTGTTCCTGATTCTGTTTCTGATCCTGATTCTATTCCTGATCCTGATTCTGTTCCTAATCCTGTTCCTGATTCTATTCCTGATTCTGTTCCTGATCCCGATTCTGTTCCTGTTCCAGATTCTGTTCCTGATCCTGTTCTTGATCCTGATTCTGGTCCTGATTCTGTTCCTGATCCTGTTCCTGATTCTGTTCCTGATCCTGATTCTGTTCCTGATTCTGTTCCTGATTTTGTTCCTGATACTGATTCTGTTCCTGATCCTGATTCTATTCCTGATCCTGTTCCTGATTCTGTTCCTGATCCTGTTCCTGATTCTGTTCCTGATCCTGTTCCTGATTCTGTTCCTGATCCCGATTCTGTTCCTGATACTGATTCTGTTCCTGATCCTGATTCTGTTCCTGATCCTGTTCCTGATTCTGTTCCTGATTCTGTTCCTGATCCTGTTCCTGATCCTGATTCTGTTCCTGTTTCTGTTCCTGATCCTGTTCCTGTTCCTGATTCTATGCCTGATCCTGATTCTGTTCCTAATCCTGTTCCTGATTCTATTCCTGATTCTGTTCCTGATCCCGATTCTGTTCCTGTTCCAGATCCCGATTCTGTTCCTGTTCCAGATTCTGTTCCTGATCCTGTTCCTGATTCTGTTTCTGATCCTGATTCTATTCATGATCCTGATTCTGTTCCTGATTCTTTTCCTGATTCTGTTCCTGATCCCGATTCTGTTCCTGTTCCAGATTCTGTTCCTGATCCTGTTCTTGATCCTGATTCTGTTCCTG